CCTTTAAATAATTCTGGTACAGATTGACATTGCCTCCCCCCCTATGTTGATTTAAAATGGCAACTAAGAAATGACATTTAGACGTCGTACATTAAATTGAAACATTGTACAAACATGTGACATTGTGTGTTATTTTGCGAGAACAATCAAGAAATAGTCATGGTTACAAGTGAGAATTTAATGCATGTTCAATGAATAGTTCGGCGGTAGTTTCAAGGAAATAAGAAATCATTACTCTATAATTGTATCTCCAACGTGATTACATTTGCACATGCACACATTCCGGCTTAGTGTGGCATTACATGGTAATTCTGTAATACTACCTACCATGAGTATGAAATAGGTCATACCATCCAACTCCCAATGACTATCAGTTTCAGATGTTATTAATTACATATTGCGAGGTTAGTTATGTGGAATTATACAAACTTAGACGTATCATTTTTGACTTAAATAAATGAACCAGTAATGCCTACACAGCCATTAAGTAATCTCATACGTTAAAACATTGCCAAATCAACGCAAAAATGGACAATCCGGGTCATAGATAACTCGCAATAACGCCACGCGAGCCAGCTGTCATAACAATGAGAGCAACATGTGGTGTGTAACAGCTACGATCTGTTGAAATCCTGTAGTTTATTGGTGAATACAAACACGTTTTTTTTTTTCATTTTCGCTGAGTTGTGTTTCAATTCCCCAAGAAACCACACAGCGACACTTGTCTCTGTTCTGTTATACAGCTATACTACATACCTTGCACATGATAGAATTAATGGCACGGTGTGACAGTGTGTATTGTCTAAATAACTCGACATATACTATGTTCACTTTCAGTGGTGTTTCCAGGAAGGGGAAATTCCGCCGTTGAACGGTACGCTTTATGAGTTGGCAGCTCGTTGATAAACTCAGTGATACACAACTTATATAAGCATAGCCTATCATGCTTAAAATGCAAGATTCATCTAATCCATCTGATTATGGACTTTCAACAATTCGCACATACAATGAGAAAGAGGATCATCAGACAGAACCTAAACAGATCACTCCTTTCCAGAGTTACAGTAACAGTGGCAATGGTCATTGAGCTTTTGCATTAGTCACGAACACAGTGACTGTTATTTCATGGTCTGTTTTCAAAGTAAAGAATGGGGAATGATTGAAATGAAAGCAATTTGCTTCCATTATTGTCAATTGAGAACATTGTCAAATGTACTAGGAGCTATGGTTGTTCAGCACATTACATGTGAATTATCAGATACGTGTGGGAAGTGAGTTGTTTTATAGAACAAAAGAAACAGGATAACAATCTGAGAAAAATAAAATGAACTGTCAGATAACGAGCATAATGCTAGAAAGTAACAATCAACCTTAATGATTTAAAACATCACATGACCTATTCATTGTATGACTAGAATGTCAATATAAATCCTCAAACTGTTTTAGACTTTTATGTATATAGTAGCTTACCATGTGTCGGCTATTTTGAGTTTTTGGTCTTCCTGCATGTATTAAACGTTTTAATTATTTTTTTTACTGATATATTTTAAATATGTTTTTGTAGTGTAAAATGTATTTTAAATTTTAAACATATATCATAAAAATATTTCTCTTTGGTAAAGGTTATTACATAAATAAAAACAAGGGAATCATAGCTACTGTAAACCACACATGTAATTATATGCATGAAGTTTATTGTCTTCATACGCAAATGATTTTGCTTTGAATAACCTAATTTATCAACTCACGAATTATCAAAATAAATATGCTAAATTAATCCCATAAATTGATTTATCCAAGAACAGTGGAACATACAATTGTTAAACTACACTCCCTGCCCTTTTAGTCGTGACACAGTGATTATAAATGATGTACACTTGCAAAGGTTTTGCTCAAAAACAATTTAGAAACAATGCTTTAAGCTCAAGGAAGAAGGGTTTATCAACAGGCTGGATGTAGCTTGTAAGGTTCTTCACAGCTGCAAAATGTGTACAGTGGATCTATTGAGGCTGCAACAATTCTGTCTGAAAGTAATGTTCCAGGCCATTTAGCGATTTTGCCTGGAAATAGGTTCCAGAATATTTGTAGAAAATTTGAAATGGATTGGGAAGTGTCCGTTTCAAAATACATTTTAGTGAATTACAGACAGATATTTAGTACCAATAGTCTTACCAGATGCTCATGCAAGACAACTATCCGCTGCTTCTCTGGAATCTGAAGACCTTAATATATAACACCAACATAACATATCATCATTAAAATCTAGGGAGAATATATTAATTGCAGGTACATAATATGTACACGACAAGCTCGATTAGACCACGGCAAATGCGCTGAAAATACAATTTTACAATCGTGAATAAAACAAAGTTGGAAATATCATTATTCTAACGGTTTTGTTGTGATATGTTGAGATTGAATAGAGATGGACAGTATTGAGTGCAGACAATGATTTTAGGTATTTAAAAAACACATAACATGGCGTTGTGATAGGTTTATAAATAACCGTCCGAACTAAAATTCAGCATCACTCCGATCATCGAGCATTAATTCCGCATTAATTAAGTGCTGACTGACTCGAGTAAAATGCGTGTTACTCGTGGTGACATCGACTCTGTGTCCCTAATTGAAGATGATTCACAGCGACATCATGTACTACACGTGAACCGAGCGCTGCCGTCAGCGTGATGAATTCGAAGGCCTGGTAGATCTTCATTACTAATGAAAGATACAAGATGGATTAATGAAATGCCATCACATTGCATTCAATTATAATGTGCATCCTTGATGAGTAAAAGTAACGACAGTAAGGAAACAACTGTAGATAGTGAATAACCTAGTAATGTGTATGGAGAATAACGATTTCTGAAGAGTTTAGATTTCCAGATTCAATTAGTGTGTGTAAACTGTGTGATATCGTTTGATGTTTGTTCTGACTTGTGTGATTAGTCTGTAACTAGTCTGGGTCTGAGAGTAAATTCGGATGTAAAAATAAGTGTAAGAATTTCATCAAACCCATGGATGCAATTGGATTGTCCGACTATTGACAATAAAATAATAATATTTATGAATTTATTGTCATCCAGTAAGGTGTCGGTAAAAATGTGTACATTACTTCAGCAAGAAATGAACACGTAATGAAAATATTATGAAATAGATACAATACAAATTCGTGCAAAATGAAAGTGTATCACTCATTTCAGTGGTTATAAAAACATTTTTCATTTTTCCCGTCTTCAATTGTGTCCTAAACTGCAACAAGTACATTTACCATGGACTGATAAATATTGTCTACGGCCAACCACATTTTGATCCTCTGGCCTCTACAGTGCAAATATGACTAACAGACAACGTAATAATACGTAGAACTATATATAGACATCGACGTCATCACGTGACAGGGCTGTACATGGAGTTGTCACATGAAATCAATACAAACATTCAAAGAGTTTGTTTAAGCCAGTTTACAACATTAGAACGAAATTAAATAGCACTCATCATCTGAGAGGAAGTACACTAACTGATATTACTACGAGTAATGACCACAACATGCTGCATCCTGACAT